TTGTTGCGCAGGCCCTAGGGGCAGGCCCGGGGAATGTGACCTGTCTTTTGGCGACTGTGGATCGGTTCCGCTTTGGTGGTTGGGACAGCGATAGTAGATCTTTGCTAGTTAGTCTGATAGATTCGCAGAGTCAATTGACTCGAGAGACAAGTTGTTATAAAAAAAAAAAAAAAAAAAAAAAAAAAAAAAAGTCGCGTAAACGACTACACGTGGCTGCGCATTTGGTTTACAGATGGGTGCTTGGGCGAGGGAAGTTGGACATAATGGAGGGGTTATTCGGTTAAAACAACTTTATTAACATTGGATCTGGATTAGGAGACGTGTATCGCGCAACAGTCACGCAGGAGTTAGGTTAGGCTAGCTATGCGACATGGGTTATGAATTTGACGCCTCAAGCCAACATAGTTGGTAGGGATGCGGCTCTGCCGTGCATGGAAGGCATCTATGGCTTCAAGGCCTTTGCGGACCATGCGTCTTGTGCTCATGGGGATTTATGTTAATAAAAAAAAAAAAAAAAAAAAAAAAAAAATTTACAGATGGGGTGCTGTGGCAAAGGCGATGAGGCGTAGGAGTGATGCTAGAGGCGAAGGCGAGCGGCAAAGTAAAATAGGAAGGTACGAGAGCGGGTGTGGGAGCAGTGGCAAAGACCAAGGCACCCAAAAATAAAGGAGAGGTGGCAAAACTACATTTTGATTTGCGCAGGTGCGCTACGCGCTCTCGATTCTTTCTCATCATCACCATCCCCGCCCTTGCCTTTGTATCCTCTTCGCCTTTGTATCATCATCGCTCCTGTGCCATTACCGTCGGCCACTCCCTTATCCTCCTGCCATCGCTTCTGTGACGCGGTCAAGATAAAAGGGACGTCAGGATCTGGATCTGGATCAAGGTAAGTCAGGAATCACGAATCAAGATCAAGAGTAAGTTGACAAGACTTACGAGTCGTGGGGACTGGAGTGTTCAGAGGCAGAGAGAGCAGGTAAGTGTGTTGAAGGATTGTTTATGGTGGTTGGACTAAGAAACTAATCTTGGAGGGAACACACTCCAGCTTATATAGAAAAATAAAGATAAAAAGGATGTGTCTAGACTCTTATCAAGTGATGAATACTTAAGCTGACGCTCAAGTATCTGGTTGTTAATAAAGGGATCTAGATGTGTAGAGACAGGCCTCGGCCATAGCAGTGCGCGTAGAAGACGCGTTGTTTAGGATATGAATCGTAGAAAACATAAAGGTTAATTCTAGCGAATGAGAAAGGTCGCAAACAGAGAGAGCAAATGTGGCAAGGTTCGCCTTGTCCACAAAAGCAGTCACTTTTGTTAACAGCTTCACGCTCCTCCGCCATCGCTTCACGCTCCTCCGCCATCGCTTCACGCTCCTCCGCCATCGCTCCCACTGTCACCAACCCTCACGGCCGTCTGTCATCATCACTCGCCGTTGTCACTAGATCCAGGCTCGCTGTTCACCATTTCGTGTCCATCAAAAAGGTAAATAACAATTTCCACTTCTAAATCCCTGTCAGCTCTTTATAGGCTGTTTCCTATTTGACGCTTTTTGCTCAGATGCGACGAGAGAGAGAGAGATGTAAACAATCCTTTTGTCATTTGGCTCGTTGACATCTCTTGCGGGCTTCGCCTAAGGCACCTCTGGGGCAGACGCGGCAACGCAATGCCCGCGCAATCAAGGTTGTACAGACACACATCTCTCCCTCCCTCCTCCACAGCCAATCATGTTGAAACAAGATCTCACTACGGCGTCTAATTCCTTTTGCCTTGGCCTCATTCACCGATTTGCTCGTCCACGCCCATCCCATTGACATCACCCAGCCTTCATTCAATCGTGCCTCCATCTAGTCCTTTCGTTCCACTCTCACTCAACTTTGCCCCGCGTACCGATCTCTATTTGAGCAAGCGGCCGTTCGCCCACCTTCGAGAAGGTAAGTGGAGGAAGAGTGCAAGAGGGAAAACAAGAGTCAGGCTTCGTAGAACTGTCTGGACCTCGTTTCTGGTGCCAGATGTGTGGTGGGCAGGTTTTATGCTCTCCGCGGTTCCTTAAGCTGGATCCGGACCTTGCTTGCGCCTTGTAAACACAAGGAATGCGCCTGTCTGGGCCTCTGGTGGGGAAACGATGGTTTACCTGTCTCTTTAAAAAAAGGGATTAAGAGGTCTTACTCTACAAGAGAGAGGAGAATGCTGCGTCAAACTGGCCGGACTTTCGTTTTTGGTGCCAGATGTGTGGTGGGCAGGTTTTTATGCTCTCCGGGTTCCTTAAGCTGGATCCGGACCTTGCTTGCGCCTGTAAACACAAGGAATGCGCCTGTCTGGGCCTCTGGTGGGGAAACGATGGTTTACCTGTCTCTTTGAAAAAAGGGACTAAGAGGCTGGCGTCTACAAGGCATGCTGCTCTCTTTACAGCCATACTTTCTCAATTTTGCGCGGTATGAGTATTTTGATACAATTAACCTTGCCTGTGTTTTCGTTATCCACTTGGTAGGACCATGGCGGCTTTGGAGCACAAAAAATGGTGGAAATCGCACTTAATATCACCATTGAGGCGTTCGCGATAAGATTCTCGTACACAATTCACGCTCCGCGTATACAGCGTTCTTGAATGCCGTCAATGGGTCCGGGCTGAAAGACCGCGCAAAGACTACGATCGGCGAGAGATTCAATGCTTGGAAAGCGAACACATCTGGGGCTAGTATGTTCTGGCTGCAACAGAGACAGTCAATGTATATTAAGAAAGGAAAGTCGGTCGCAACGGCAGGCTTGGTTGACGCAGCAACAAAAGAGCTTCCCAGGGCCATCCAGGCAGGTTATTTATTGATGCAAAAAAAATCGCGCCTTGTTCTCTCGTCCTTGCTAATATGTATGCGTTGCTTGTGCTATTAGAATGAAACGTATATGCGGGAGAGGAAGGTGGCGCGTCTAGCTTGTCGACTCCCCAAGAAAAAAAACGGAGCTCTTACTACCAGATCGAATCAATTTCAAACAAGAAAACGAGAGGCGACGATGGAGTAGGCGACGCTGGAGTAGACGACGATGGAGTAGACGACGATGAAACAGGTGTCCAAAACGAAGAAAGCCTCAGGGAGGAAGTTATTCGAGAACTACGCGAGGTGGAGAAGAACACTGAACCTGGATTCTTACCCTCTCATTCGCGCACTTTACCATGCGGTAAGCTCGTCTCTTCTCTGTATTCACTGCGGTGTCGAGGTTGTATTGTAACTGATACTTTTGCTCTTTTTGCACACTAATCAATAGGCGCGGGGTGAAAGATTTCAAAAACCAAATCCAAAACCAACTTTGAGCACGCAGCAGTCTTTTTTGTGGGACTTTGTTTATTCGCATCTGGACACATTCAGGACCATGACACCATCAGAACAAAAAGATGTCTTGTAAGCTCCAATTTTGTGATGGAATATACATCGCTTTTATTCACTTCATCTGATTCTCCACTATTTCATGTCAATAGTGTCGCAGTCAGCGGCATTGTCGACCTGGAGCTACATGTGTCATTCCCAGAACGAGATGAACTTGTCCGAAGATGCAAAGCAGGAGTCAACTTTACATATCCAGCTGTTCGCGAGCAGATCAAGGCGTACCAAGGGTTTGTGGACGTGCAAGACGGTGTGGACGAGGCGAGACCAGATGATCTTAGACGCCAACTCAGAACAGACATGGCTCAATTTAAGGAGGATCAACAGAGATGATGGTTGCCGAGATACTGATGATCCTGTAAGTCATTTCGTTGTTGGTGGCGATCGCCTTTCAAGATATTATTTTCCCCTGGAAACTATACTATTTCATTTGTTATTTCCCTGTTTAGCGTGAAACGGTGCGTGCCGGACAAATTCGGTCGTGCCAAGAGAACAGAGTCATCCACACTCTTTGTTTGGTATGCAGTGTGGGAAGTCCTTTTTGCTTCCACAGCTGTGGAGGTTGAAGTGTAAGTGCCATCGATATTTATTGAACTCTTTTAACAGTCTTGTGTGTTCAATATCTTGTGCTGACGGCAATTTAAAATGTATAGAGGGGAAACAATCCTTAGAGAGGCCCAGAAAGATCAGGTCGCTATTCGTGTTGTTGTAGGCTCAAAGGCCGCGGTTGGTCGAGCTGGCGCGTCTGGCCGCAAGCTTGATTTCAGGTTGATCGCCACCATTAAGACAGGTCAGCGCTTTGAGCCATTTACCTTGAGCAACGACGAGCACAAAGGTCTTGGATCGTCAGATCTGACAGCAGACATTCAAAGGAAGAAAAATATGCGGCTCAATAAGAGCATTGTCATGAACGGAAAAGTGCCGATGAATACTGGCAATGTGTATCAGGACGTTGTAGGTGGGTTGACTTTATATTTGCAATGACTGTTGTCTAGCTGTTCATTCATATATATTTGATTTTTCTTCACTCTGTGCTAGGACTCGAGGGAACCTGGAACATTATGTGTCCTTTCGAAGATGTCATGTTATGTTGCGAAACGGAGGAACCTCGCCTGCGTCTCCCGTCGAATGAGTTCGAGTTGGGCGGTTTTTACTTGAGGACGGTATGGAACGTCTCCTGGCATATAGGGTAAGTAAGCACAAACGATTTCCTTGTTATCCAGTGTTATTTCAAATGCACTTACAGCTTATAACATCGCATGCTGTTAGGAGCATATCCTCTCTTTGGCGAGAAAAGTCCAGGGTCTTGTATCTAACCCACGAAGACCAAGCATCTCTCGTCGCGCCCAAGTTCCCTTGCAGTCACCCAGTACCTCTGTCCACGCCCAAGCTCCCTTACAGTCGGGACTCAGTACCTCTGTCCACGCCCACCTTCCCTTGAACAGTTTGGCGAACACACCAGCAGCATGGACAGGTGCCGGTGGCCTTACTGGCAACTCCACAGGAGTCACAACATTGATTACAGGAGCAGCGGTAGCATGTACTTCTCAATCCTGTTCGACAACAAATGTCTCTACAGCAGAAGAATGGACAGGCGCCTCTTTTGCGGCCGATGCCTGGTACCCCTCCTCGAGCTTTGTGCCCGCGGACTCATCCGCCAACATTCTATACACCAACAAAGCCGAAATGAAGAACTGTAAGAAATTACTTTGCCAGCAATCAGGCAAACAACGAGATGGCCTACATGACCTAATCATATCTTTCTCGGACTTTTGATTTTATTTTACCAAGATCCCTCGGAAGCCAGATGTTGATCGTCAACGATTACATAGTAGTTTCCCACAGTATGCACAACTATTGGACTGTCGCAGTTCTTTCCCCTCTCTTTGATTCTTTGACTGCCGTAGTATCTTTTCAATAACATGTACAAATCCATCTGCCTCCATCTGCAGCCTGCACTGTTCTTCCAATGTTTGATGGTCGCGCATACAGTAGCGCGTCTATTCGAATGCGTTCAATCGAATTCGAACTGAGGTGGATTCGATTCGATTCGAATAGGTAATATTGAATTCGATTCGAATGATTCGAATAGTTCTAATATTTCGATTAATTCTATTGATGCGATTGATTCGAATAATTCGAATAGATGCGCTAGCATACAGTGCCGTTCAAAGCTGAGCAAATTTTTACTCTGAGAGCTGATACTCACAAACTAGCGATCGGATTACCTTGGAACTTTGTAGGAATGTTCTTTAGCCATTATAGAAGACGTTTATAAAAGATGAAGTCGGTACCAGCAACCGTTGTAAAGTTATAGTCGTCGGCAGAGGCCACCTGATTGTCTCAGTTTTGAACCATACCTGTGGTGTATTCACCACATTATCCTGCTTATATATAGAGCACCCTATTTTCTTTGGATTCATCACCACTCGGTGCTGATCCTTTATGAAGCTCATTGTGCCTCTGAGACTTTCCCTATGTTCCTAGTCCCCTATACTAGATGCATTTATAGCTATTCTCTAGCATATAAGGCACGATCTGCCACTATTAAAGGGCATATTGTTTTTCACAGACTTCTCGTCCCATATACTTTGTGAATTTACCAACAGTCGCTCTAAAAAAAATAAAAAAACCCACATCTACTATTTTTATTTTCACCACAATCCATCATTTCCAAATGCCTTGTAACGTGGTTGACAAAAGTGGTCGTATGGTTTTTAAATGGATTTAATGCGGCTTTTTTTACATTATTTGATGCCTGTATTATCTCGATATCCAAAAGATAAAAGCATGAACCTCACTATGCGAACAAGGACCCGCGTCCAATGGACTTTAAAAAAAACACAACTAATGAACTGGTTCATGTATCAGACGTTCACTTACGTTGTCGAGAAGAAGACCCATTTGGGTCAAAATAAAGCCCGTGCCATAGGAAATGTTCTCGAGAAGCAGGTATTCTCATCGTATCTGAGAAAAATCCACAACATGAACCAGTTCATTAGTTGTGTTTTTTTTAAAGTCCATTGGACGCGGGTCCTTGTTCGCATAGTGAGGTTCATGCTTTTATCTTTTGGATATCGAGATAATACAGGCCATTTAAAACCATACGACCACTTTTGACAACCACGTTATGAAACCAATGATCCGTCGTGTGCTAGGCGATGAATGCCAACTTTCAGCTGGATTACGACATCCATCTGGGGCTTCTTCCCTGACGTTGAAACACCGAGTGATCTCGAATGATCTCGAGCACGTACTCGAACTGCTCGGGAGATAACCGTAGAGCACCTTGGAAGAGGGTCCCATTGTCCGTGGTAAGGACTTTGTCCCGGTAGGTTGACGACTTGAAGATTGGTGTCCTTGGATTGAGATATCTGTTGGTTTTTAAAAAAATACTTTGTGATGAACACTTTCAGGAACAGAGGAGTGATTGTAAACGTCCTTTCTGGGACGCGTTGTGGTGTAGTGGCTCTATATCAGGTAAAAGCACTAGCTGTGAATATGTTGCTCAATAAAAGTTTCTTCTGCTTTACGAAGTCTACGTAATAATTATCTTACGGTGTATGGATAAAGCTCCAAGTGGGGGCACTGGTAAGAGATCTTTTAACGGTGAGGAATAATAAAGACAGCAAAACTATTTACGAGAATAATAAAGGCGACAACACGCTCGGGTTAGGGATCTGCAAGGTCAAAGGGATCTGTCACGGATAGCACCATAGCGTGTGGTGCAGAGTGACAATTGAGCTGCGCGCACAATTGCTCATATCGATTTGTGACTGCTTCTACGCGCTCACGCGCTTGCACGCGTACCTCTGCCGCCGTATGCTCCGCCTTGTCTCGATCAACATATGTTCAACGAAGTATCTTTATTGATATGGCCATTGTCCGGCCCGCCTAGAACCATTGTCCGGCCCGCCTAGAACCATTGTACCTGATCCATACCTTTGTGCTATTCCTAGCAAATATACCTCGCGTCCCGTAGTAGCCATCCGAGTACCTTGACCAAGAATCCTAGAAACACATAAATAGAGCCATAGAATCCATAGCATATAACCTCAGTTTGCAATACATTTCTTCCTTACCTTGTCCACTGTCTGCCTTCTCCATAACACATATCCCACTCTTCTAAGTCTGTTCCTGACATTCACCACGGCTGTTGCTGAACGCACTTTGCTCACATTTATTGGTTCTGTTAGTGGACACCCTGCACGTATTCTTATTGATGGTGGAGCTGAGAGAAATGTCATCAGCAAGACTTTCCAGCGCCATCACTCTATCCCACTCGTCCCCTGTTCTCCCATCCCAATTATCCTTCCCGACGGTTCCTCTTCTCTCACTCAATACACTGCCTCCATCTCCCTCGCCCGCGACAACTACGCCGACAACCTTCAACCATTCCTCTATGACCTCCAATCCTACGACCTCATCCTCGGCAAACACTGGCTCACTCAGATCAATCCTTCTATCAACTGGCGCGACAACAGTCTTCACTTTCACCACAAAGGCGTTTCCGTTCGATGGTCCTGCAAAGGGTTTGCACCCTCTTCTGTAACCGCTAAGTCCCGTGGCTTACTGCTGAGCAGTGTTTCTCAAAAATATTCGACTTTTATTCGACTCGTGCTAGGCCAATGTAACTGTCGAATCGAATTTCGAATTTCATTCGAATTTTACATTGGCCTAGCACGAGTCGAATAAAAGTCGAATATTTTTGAGAAACACTAGTGTCTACACAGGTCAAGCAGGATCTATTGAGAGCGTTCTGGCAAACAAGGGAAAGCGATCTTCAGCTCATTTTTCGACAGACGTGCTTGAACAGCATATCTGTAAAATCCTGGTCCGCCATAAGCTACCTTATACTTTTGTCCAGTCGCCTTTGCTAAAGGAGTTACTCGACCTTGCACATACAGCGCCCTCTACAGATGCATTAAACCTGCCATCCAATGACACAATCAGCAAAAGGGTATGCCAACTACAATGAACAATGGCGCAACATATTGAATCAAAAATGTATTTTGCTAATAGCGTAATTGTTTGTTTATTAATAACCATAATGACTTGACCATTCATCAATATAGATTTCGAAACTGCATGAGGAATATGAGGAGCTTCTTCGTGGCAAGCTTGCAACAGTACCTATGGTTGCTTTCACCCTAGACGGCTGGACAAGCCCCTTTCAATCGTCATTTCTTGCAGTCACTGCTCACTGGATCGATGACAATTGGATACAGCAGGATGTCACTCTGGGCTTTGAACACCTAAAAGGTTCACATACAGGCGAGGCATTGATGCAGGCATTCATCAAGGTAGTGGAGCGCTTTGACTTACGGCAAAAGGTCATGTCAATTACCAGTGACAACGGCTCTAATGTCCTTAAGTTCATGACGGACTTTGAGACATATACACGCGAGCACTCTAATGAATGGTAGGCACGTAAAATAATGTTCTAATGATAATATATCTTGCCAGAGTTTGTATTAATATAAAAACGTTCTCATCCATATCTTTTCTTTTTGCTATGGTCTATAGGTGTAATAGCTCTAGGCAGTCGAGGGCAGGGGTAAGGATGGAAAGGGTTGGAATGCGTGCTGTATTAAGATGGCAACTAGCTGGTCTATATATCTATGTCTACGGTCCGGTTCCGGCCCGCCGGTTGTCTATAGCCGAGGCCCCAGTCCTTTCGGAGTCGGGGCTATAAGCGGGGTTATCCTGTTACACCTTCCCATTAAAAAAAATAATTTTACAGTCTATGCTGTTTCTTGTACTGCCGTAAAAGTCGCGCACAGTTGGTCATATTGCTCTCTGGTTCCCATGTGGAGTCCTCCCTTGCATATCCTTGCCACTTGACCAGGTACTCCACGCGATTGTTGTTGTTTCGATGCTCCATGATCGTCTCAGCCTCGTATTCTTCCTCGCCATCAATGATCTCTGGTGCTGGCCTCGCATGTGCACGTCGGCCGAATGTCACCGGTGAAGGTAAGTAGGGTCGAAAGCGGTCAACGTGGAATATATCGTGTATCTTCATGGCCGGGGGTAGCTCAATGCGGAAAGAGACCGGTGAGTGCGTTCCAGGATGGTATAAGGTCCGATGAAGCGTGCCTGCAACTTCTTGGTGGGGCGATTCCTGTCAGCAGCAACAGTGATGTCTTCTGTACTCAGCAGCACCTGGTCTCCAACTTTGAAATCGTGATCACGGCGACGAGAATCCGCATTCTTGGTCTGCCGTTCCTGAGCATCTGCGATGGCCTCTTGCGCGAGGACTAATGCTGTGCTCTGTGCCTCTACGAATTCCATGACACTGGGATTGGGACTGGGCTGAGGTTGTAGCAGAGACGACGGTACGCGTGGGTGAAATCCCAGGTTCAAAAAAAATGGGGACTGGCCAGTGGTGGCATTGCTGGAGTTGTTGTAGGCGAACTCAGCGGCGGATAGGAGTAGATCCCAGTTTGTCTGTCGCTGGTCCACGAAGGCGCGTAAAATGGACTCCAGTGTCTGGTTGGCACGCTCGGTCTGTCCATCGGTCTGAGGGTGGAAGGCGGTCGACATGGCCAGCTTGACGTCCATGAGGCGGTGCAGCTCCTTCCAAAAACGACTGGTGAACTTAGTGTCGCGATCAGAGACGATCGAGGTCGGCATGCCGTGCAAGCGAAAGACGTTGTCAAAGAACTGTCGAGCTACGTCGGATGCTGTGTCGGTGGTGTGGGCTGGGACGAAGTGGACCTGCTTTGACAGTTTGTCGACGAAGACCGTGATGGAGTCATAGCCGCGAGGAGTCTTGGGTAGCTTGACAATAAAATCCATCGTCACCGT